ATATAAAAAAATCAAAACATTGTATGGTTGAGAATTCAAGTAAATTCAACTCACATATAAAATGTACTTTTTATAACTATATAAGTGACCAATCTCTTACTAATAAACCTATGTTATTGCATATATATATATATATATATATATATATATATATATATATATATATATATATATATATATATATATATATATATATATATATATATATATATATATATATATATATATATATATATATATATATATATATATATATATATATATATATATATATATATATATATATATATATATATATATATATATATATATATATATATATATATATATATATATATATTTATGAAGCCCAATCCTCTTTGACTTCACCTAAACTATTTTTAAAATAAGTAACAAGTTTGCATGCTGGAAAGTACTTCAAATATAAGCACAACATAAAATTAAGTTAGAATTGAATTACATTTTATTCCATATCTATATGACTATTTAATAATAATAATAATAATAATAATAATAATAATAATAATAATAATAATAATTAACATTAAAATCACTTACATTCAAAGGAATTTTATTTTGATTTTTCTTTATAATCTCTTTCATAAATCGCATGAAAAATATCCACAGTCAATACTGTTAGTTTGACAATGACACTGCAAAATACAAATTACATCAATGACCTCTACTATGTGTCATTATTAAAAATAATATTAATTAGAAAATACATTTATTTTTGTCCATGTGATTTTATTTGATTTGGACTTTGACACTTTAACTTTATCGGAGACACGGTAAATGTACAAAGCACTAACAAAATTAAATTAAAGTTCAAATAAATAATTGTTATAATCAGTCCTAGTCATATAAATATTAAATTGAAAGAACCGATTCTTACTTTTTAAACTTTATTTTTAAATCTTGATAATTATCGGGCTCAACATTCAATGAATTTATATAATATATAATCTCCGCATTGAGATTGATGACAGGCAACGCTTGATGATCCTTACACCTAAAATTTAAATATTTCAATAACTTTCACATTCAAATGTGATTAAATATAACATTGGGGCAAGAATCATCCTTTCATTGAACTCTTTATTTATCAAGAGTAATTTTGCTATGTTTTTTTTTGTTCTTTATCATCATTCGAGACATGGAGATATGAAAGAGAACTTATTTGCTAACCCATTTAGAGTGATGAACTTGTCATACAAGTACCTTGAAATAAAAAATAATAATTTTAAATATCAATAGTCATATAAGTCAAGATACAAAATTAAAATGGCTAAGAAGCATTTGTATCAATGTACTTTTATACCAAGAAGCTTCAAGATGGAGATGTACCTGACATATATTATAATAACAGTGACTCTTAATCAATTGTGAACAACAAGTTCTTTTATGTTCTCGACATGTATATGCTCTTGAAATTCCTCACAAAAAATATTTTTCTCTATGGTTATCTCAATTACCGACTCAGGTCTCATCATCATTTTACATGCATATCAAGGAATTGTAAACTAGTAGAACTAGTTGAACCCCCAACTTTAGATGACAACTCTTGAATTTTCATATTTTCATAATTTTTGATTTGTGATGCAATTGATTCAGCACTATATTGGACATTCTTATCCTTTCTTTAAAATTTATCAAGCATCTAAAAAGTTACATTACCTAAGATTAGTGATCAAATAATAAAACAAGTATATATACTTAAGAATCAAGCATATTGATAATAAGTCATTTACCTTTTGACATTCATCAACAAAGTCAACTAATTTAAATGGTTATGGAACAATTGTACCTATTGTCTTATCAACCATTGAGACATCACCATATTCAACATATATAGGCAGTGGAGCATCTGACACAATAGAAACTTCAATCATAACTTTGATATATCGGGTAGTAATTTTATGCCATGCATGATATCACTACTGATGTTATATAATTTTTCAGGAGCAACCAAACATCGATTTGGAGATGATAGATATATATTAATATAAGCGATACACTAAACATTAATAAATTATAAAAATTAATTATAATTAAAAGAAAAAATAATTAGACTTTAGAGTTTAGTAAAAAAAAACAATTACTTTCGGAATGTTGTCAATTGCACCATAGTTGCAAAAATCCTTGTCACTAGAATGTCACCTCTCTACAACTTTACCAGGTGATCGCCTCTCTCCCACTTCTTCAGTTTGATGCCTTTCTACAATTTCATTTATTGATCGCATTCTTTCCACTTCTTTGATTTGTGGTCTCTCAACTACTTTCTCAAATTAATGTCTTTTTATCATTTCATGAGCTTCTAACCTCTCTTTCTTTTCTCTCTAGTTTCTCCTTCTCTAGTGTCTCCAATCTCTTAGTCTATATATTGAACATGTAATAAATATTATTAATGTGTGCTTGTGTAGAAAGAGTCTGGCGTAAAAATATATCTTTAACTCTTATTCCAAAATTCGTTCTAGCTCTTTCAAAACTAATTTTCTCAATCAAATACAAAATATAAAATTTTTCTCAATCAAATACAAAATATAAAAATTTTCTGAATCTTTGAACTTAAGAGACAACTTATTTTATACTCTGACACTCTAAAATCCACTTTCTTTTTTATATGATTTTTTTTCTTTGATAAACTTTAAAAAAAAAGAACATAACGTTTCACAACATTAAATACAACTCTTTAACGAAAGGAAAATTTTTAAAGTTTCTACAAATTTTCTAAATCATCAACAAATTAAAGCTATGATATACTTGAAATGTGTTAAAGGAGTGTCCAAGTAAAGAAAAATCAAACAAAAGTCATTAACTTCACCTACAAATTAAAGATTCAATTGGCAAACTATTATCATTAGATTTTGCACAAATAAAAAAACAAAGAAGATCAAAAGAAATTCATAGATTTGGGAAGATTGTCAATAATATTCAAGATAAATTTAAAATTTCTTTTCTAAATTATGGTTTAAACACTAAATAAATACTTGAAATGCAACTTATTCAACTTTAAAATATGAGATATCTTTTATAGGAAAGTTCGTGTTGAGGTTATTGTGATTTGGATATTAAAAAAAAAAGTGGTTCAATTTGATTTTATTAACTCTTAAAAATAAAATAAAATCAAACCAAATTATTGTAGTTTGAGTTGCTTTGATCTTTTACAAAGATTTTTGTTGAACCATATATACACGTATAGAGATAATATAACTTTGTCTTATTCATACATTAGCAATTAACAATAAAATTCGTGATATTTAGACAATAACTTTTATTTAATATATAGAATTTAGATTAAACAAAAATAAATAAAAATCATAAAATATATCATAAAACAATATAAAAAATATTATAATAAAAGAAAAAATATGATAGATGAGACATAAAAAAAAGATAAAAAAGAAAAACTTATAGAAAAAGAGACACAATATACCTAAAAAAGAACATAAAAAAAAGATTTAAAAAGGTTTAAACTGAAATCAAAACTAAAAAAATTCGTTAACAATAATAAAATTAAAATAAAATAGATTTAAATTTGAGGTCAACGTAAAATTCGAGTTATAACATTATATTATTAAATTTGATTTATTTTTATAATTATAAATCAAATTGAACCGCACAAAATTGATAAGTTATTATATATTTTAAAGATTAAATTCATGATTTATTCAGGACAAACGACTGAGTGTTCACCAAGCTTAACGTGCACCCTCAATTCAATCGAAAAATCGAAGGCGATTCCTTTTCTCTCCGACGACGCAATCCGGCAATCTTCCATTTCGTATCTTCTTGCACGGTAACCTTCCAATTTTTCTTTCTGCTTTCATTTTCGATTCTTACCATACCATCTATGATTTCGTTACCGGCACTGTTAACTCGCTCATTCTTTTTATTCGATCTCTGATTGTGTTTGAGAAATTGCTCATTAATACGTGTCTGTGTTGTGATTTTGGTAGCTTTTACTTATCTTAGATTTGAATGCTAGGTAATTTTTAATTGTTCAATTGAGCATTTTCTTTGTTTTGATTTAGTTGTCATGTGTTTGGTTATGCCATGACAAAAATAGATTCGAATTGTTTTGAATTGATTTTGTAAAATGTATTTAGCAATGAGTGAGTTGAACGATAAATTTGAGTGTAAGTTTCACGCCTGGAGTCAAAATTGCAAAAAGTTAGAATCAATTTTAGAAGAAGAATCAATATTATTGGGGAACTCACTCATTGCTAATTTTGATTTCTTCAAAAGTGGAACTAGACATATTACATATAAATGATCAGAAATATAATTCCAATTTTAGGGTTATGTGAAATTAGTAATTGGGCACAAATAGTATCATGTGGGATTTTACCACTTATTTTTCATGGACTACTCAATGGCTTTTAAGTGTTTGTTCTAACCATTAACATTTTGTGATATAAATCAGCAATTTAACGATGCTGATGCTACTTTATTAAATTCAGATTCCAAAACTCAACTTTTTGTTATTAACAATTGTGCAAAGGAGAGTTTAATGTTAATTGGGTACATCTTCCGCACTATGTTGTGTTTTATCTTGAGGACATGATATAAATAAAATTGGAATTGAATCCTTTCCACGTGAATATTTTGTGAAAATGGTGTACTAGTGTATACATCAGTTTCTGATTCTCTAGGAGTGTCACACAGCTTGAGTTCTGTTTGCACATGATTCCACTCTCAATTCTCATCATATAATGTCTACTGAAAAACCCAGTATCTCATTTGTTTCCATTTCTTCGAGTTTCTGACTACTTGTTCTTTTTTGCGTATATAGATATGCATGCACTGCTTAGCCTATGTTTGGTAATATTTAAAAGTCATGGTGCAATTATTTCTTGAAAAGGAAGTTGTAGTTGACCAACATGATATCTTATCTTCTTACTTTGTTATTTCTTGAAATTGACAAGGTGCTATGTTTTTTGTAGATTTAATTTTATTGCCAATCGTGGTTGTGAATTAGTGCCCTACCTCAAACGACAATGGTATGATCCTCTCTTCTTTAATCTTTCCTCTACCTCAACAATTCCCTTTTCAACATGTTAATTAACTGTTAATCTTATCTACTACTTGATTCATTAATTTTCTACAATATTCTCTATAAGAATTTTTAATCTGATCTATTGTCGTACTATGCTAGTTACTTCTTGCTTGTATATCCTGTTGCGCTTTCTATTTTTAATTATTTTTTCATCATTAAATTTTGCAACTTAATATTTGTTTTTAACATCTCTCTAAATGAGTATGTTCGCTTGTTTGATTGTATCACATAAATGGTTGAGAGAGAAAAAATCATTAAACAATAATTGACTCTCTTTTGATGTGCATTTTCCTTGTCAGTCATCTATACATAGAGGGGATTCCAGGAGGTTCAACAATAAACCAAGAGCACGACATCATTTGACAACACAGAAGAGACAGGAGATCAAGGAAGCTTTTGAACTATTTGACACTGATGGCTCAGGTTTTATAAATCACTTTACCATCCAAATCTCAATGTAGTCAAATATTTTGTTTCCCCTTTATGCTAATACTTTAATGTTTTGTAGGCACTATTGATGCTAAGGAGCTGAATGTTGCCATGAGGTTTTGTTGTTATTCATAAGGTCAAAAACGTTTGTCATATTAATTGGCTTTGTTGTTTTCATAACTTACATTTTCTCTTTGCAGAGCCCTTGGATTTGAGATGACAGAAGAGGTATTATATAATACTCAATTACATTCATTCAATTTTCATATTCGGCAGAGTTTGCTAGTTGCAATTATTTCCACGATTGAGTGTTGCCAAGGAAAATAATTTCCAGACTTCTTTTAAATATCACAAGGAACCTGGCCAATTCTCTGCGTGCGTGTGATAATTTAAGTTAAATGTCTCCTACCCCTCCTCTTTTTTATTGTTTTAGCTTTTAGCTTTGGCTGTTCCTCTACTTATTCAGTGATAGTGATCAGTGGCTAATGAAATCTGATTGTAAAATAGCAATGAATCACATACAACATTGTTAGCATTTGGTGATGCCACTGTGTTAAGTTATATACACATCTTTCTCATAAATAAACCACTGCACCATTTCAGCAAATTGAGCAAATGATAGCAGATGTTGACAAGGATGGGAGTGGAGCAATCGACTATGATGAATTTGAGCACATGATGACAGCCAAAATAGGAGAAAGGGACACTAAAGAGGAGCTCATGAAAGCTTTCCATATTATTGATCAAGACAAAAATGTGAAGATCTTCACTGGTTTACATCATCAGTATTGCTTTTTCTTGATTCTCATTGCATATACGTGATCATTGCAGGGTAAGATATCTACAAATGACATCAAGCGCATTGCAAAAGAGCTTGGTCAAAATTTTACTGATAGAGAGATTCAGGAGATGGTTGATGAAGCAGATCAAAATAGTAAGTTACCACAGTCATATAACCGCTGACTCTAATTTTTCAGTAAAATTTTTACATCTCACATAGTGTATTTGTATTGCATTCCATGGTGAACTGTGTGGAAATTTATGTGCTTTAGGCTATGCTGATATAGTATTGTCTGTATATGAAAATATTATCATTACTTTGAACTTCAAATATGTGGTTTTCTGAATTGAAAGTAAAGTATGCACACTGATTTTATTTCAGTTTTTACGTGCTTGAAGTTTCTTTACCATGATTGGTTTTTGATATCAGAGTCATTGTGTGGGAAATATTAATTTTCTTGATTGTGATCTTTTTTATTTGGATTGATATCTATTAATTGGTTCCTTCCCCATTTTAAGGATAACAGCTGTAGTCAATATCCTTGGTCTGAAACCATCTTCCACCAGGTGTATACACATATGAGCAGTGAAAAACAAAGTTAAATGGAGAAAACTGAGATAAAATAAATTGAAATGAAATACATGTTTTGACTACCATATCACCCAACATTTATACTTTTTTGGTGTAATACACATGATGTGTTGAACATGAGGCACAGCTGGACAACAAGACAGAATAAACAATAGGGTGCTAGTTGGCTGGTCAATAGTTAGTTACAACGGCAGTTTGGGAGTTAGTTTTAGGGAGCTAGAAGTCCCAAAACTTAAAGTCTATTCTAGAAGAAAGTTAGTTGGATAGTTTAGTTAGTGTCTTACTTTTAAAAGAGGTATTTGTTTTATCTGATATTCTCTCTCCATTGCAGAAATAACTGAGTTCTTTCTCTCTTTCCCCCATCTTATTTTCCTGCTTGTCCTACTTGTTATGCTCTGTGGCACCAACACCCCTAATCGAAGGCATACGGTGTCCGACACCCACACGTCACCAACGCATGTTTGCAATCAATTAATTCATTTTCTTAAATTATTACCCGTGTCAGTGTCATGTCCGATATATGTTTCTGTGTTGGTGTTTCATAGTTGTTATGTGCTATGGTTTTTTTGTTTCCTAACTTGATGATTAACAATAGGTTTCTGAATTGTATATTCAGTATTTATTGAAAAGTGAGTAGTTTGTTATTTCAAAACTAAAGCATGTGTTTGCATTGGTTTCATAGTTCTTAAGGAAAGTTAAACGTGTTATATTATACTCTTTTGCTGGCCATGACTAGTATGGACCACCATAATAGATGGTCCATTATTTACCACATTTCCACACCCGTCCCTTATATCAATCTATACCTCACTAACTAACTTATTTTCACCCAAAAGCCACCATATCACCACCAAGAATTTCCATGGCCTTTTCTCCGTTGGCCACCAACCCATCCCCTCCCCTTGAGGACGGAGCACGACAATGCAATAATGTGAAAAAGCTTGTCTGACAAGTGCTCTCAATCGTACTCATGGCAGGTGCTTGGAACATAAACAAGCTACACTCTTGCCGGGTGATTGCATCATATTAAGCAAAAACAATCCCAAACAAATTTAAAAAAACATTGGCTTCTTGATATTAAATTAAACACAAAATAGTTGGAGTTAATATGCCCTCTCTGGGGCAGAACATGGTCTTTATTAGAGGCCCAAAAATGCCTGTGATGATGTGAAGCACTTTGTCGTGCTCCTATTGTGTACCACACAGCCAGACCAATCGTTATCATGTTCTTGGCTCGGGGCTTTTGCCAGTAAAACAGTGCATCATCCTAAGATGAAAAGGTAGCACCCACTGAACATCAAGGATGAAGACATAGTGCGTGCTTGTGGCAGGGATGGAGGTGAAGTAAGTTGGGGAATGAGAATGATTTCATGAAGAGCATCCACTGTGAGGTTTAGTGGAACTGTAATTTAAAGATGTAGACCACCTATAAGATTGTCCACCTTAACTGCCGTCCATGTTTGCTAATGTTAAGGCAATATAAAACTTTGCATTCTTTTTAACTCTAGAATTAGTAACTAATTCTGATAGCTTGATTCTTGTTAATTTCTTCCTCATGCTTGTGAGATATTTTTTACTCAACATTTGTGGTTTTACAACATGTAGATGATCGAGAGGTTGATCCGGAGGAGTTCGTTAGGATGATGAACAGAACAAGCTTCCGTCACTAGTCATATCTACATCCTGTAGGCTACATGGAGTAGTAGTTACATTTGTTTATATGCAAAATTCAGATGGTGTTGTACTTCTGCTAGTGTGCAAATTATAGGAATGATAAATGTTGTTTATTTTGATAAGAGATATGAGTCCAATGGTATGATTGCCCGTCACCCATGATCATATAGATGTATTCTGGGATTTAGGTATCTTGTTTGGAACAAATGCAAATGGGAACAGTATGCATGATATTTTTACCGCTTCAAAATGTTATCGGAGCTTATCTCTTTCCTCTCTCTCATTATTTAGTGTGTGTTTTTTTATTTTATTTTTTTATTTACGAAGTAGTTGAGTGGCTAGAATTCACCATTTAAAGATAAAAGATTGAGATGTCACGGGTTCGAACGTGTTTTGTATCTGATATTCTTGCACAACTATTAATTGAGCTGATTTATTGTAGTATATGTTTGGTTTTACAGTTGGTTGATAGTTGATTTATTGTAGTATATGCTTGATTTTACGGTTGGAACACTTAGAATTGATTTTAAATGAGTAGAATTGATTTTGACATTTTTAATTGCTCTAAAGTAGAATTAAACTATGTTTTTTAAATTGATTCTATTTAAAATAAATTACAATAGGTAGCATCTTTCCTGACATGTTTGTTATTTGGTATCAATAATTTTATTCATTTCGTCCTACAATAAATTCCCATATGTCATTTTCCCTCTAGTGGCAACAATTAACAATTAAAACGAGACATTACAACCTAATATAAAGTTAACATAGGTTGTTGATCTGACCTGATCAGGAGGGATCACGGACTGGCTACACTCCGCTGGACGGTTATCTGTTCGCCGGGGTAAGAAAGAGGAGGGGGGTGTACCTGCAAAGCACTCCGACGCCCAAGTAAGAAGTTGGACAGAGAGGAAGCGATAGTACAGAAAAAGGGACAAGAAGAGTTCCCTGACCCTCTTGAAGAAGAGGGTATTTATAGAGAGACCCCAGCGCTGGGCCAACGGTCATTCGAGGTGGGCCAGACGACCAGGCCCAACCCTAATGACTGCTAGGGCTTACGTGGCGTAGTGAAGACCAGGACGTGGTCTTCGCCCTAGTTCAACCGCTCCTAGGTCTCCGGAAAGTGGGTTTGACCTGCTCTTTCGGAGGTGGGCGGTTGGCCGATGACGTGTCCCCGCGGAGGGGAGCACGTGGAGAACGTGCGCCGAGCACGTTATTCTCCCGCGGAGGGAGCCCGGGTAGTCTTGCTCGTCCGGCGTGACGGACGACAAAAGGGACGCGGAGCGGTAGCTTGTGCCCGGCGGCCAGTCCTGCTCGTTCGAAGGGGCGCGTGCCAGGCGCGCCCAGTTCGCTTGTTGGGCCGCATTTGGTATTGGGCCTGCCGAGGTGAGGCCCATACCGGAACAGGAGCCCCCCAAGTCGAAGCTCTTGGGAAGAGCGAGGACTTAAGGTCGTCATGTCTGGAGCGGGGACTCGCACGAAGGGCTCCGGTCGTCGGTAGAACGGGGAGGAGGCAGATGAAGGGACGCGACTGTCAGGTTGCCTCCACGTGTCTTGTGTTAAGCGGTCGTAGGGGCGGCTAACCTATGTCATTAATGAGCCTAGAGTCGCTTCGAGTCCCGCGCCGGGTTATAAATATGGCGGTCCCCGCTCATTCTGTTACTTTTCTCCCTGCTAATCTTTTATCGTCTCTGCTCGTCCGCCGCTTGCCGCCGATCGCCGCCGTGCCGTTTGCTCTTTTCTTCCGTCCGTCGCCGTTACAAGTGAGTTCCTCTTTTCCCTCTCTTTTTATTTCCGTCGTCTAACTGGAACGTGTGGTCGGGGCGGGATGAACGCCCCGAGGAGGGATGCGAGTTCCGCCGCGTCTGGCGAGTTTTCCGATGAATGTCCCGGGGACGGTAGGCTAGTTCCGATGAATGCCCCGAGGACAGGAGCTTTTTCTGATGAATGCCCCGAGGACGGGGGCTTTTCTCCGATGAATGCCCCGAGGACGGGGGCTTTTTCTGATGAATGCTCCGGGGAGAAGTACCTTCTCCGACGGCCGTCCCGAAGGGGGTGAGGGGTCGTTCTACGATCCCCGAGGAGGGTAGACGGGGAGCGAATGTCTGCTCGTCGCTCCTCGGCCTTTGTCGCCCTTTCACTTGACTTGCGGTGGAAGGGTGGATTTGATCCTGGCTATCGAATTCACCGATGTCCTCTGCTTTCAGGTGTAGATGTCGGCTCTGGTGCCGGGGATAATGGTTGAAGATACTGAACCCGAGGTCCCGGAGTATGACGACGAGCGTATCGCCCCGTCCGAGGAGTGGGCGGCCGAGGAGCCACTTTCCATCCCCTCTTGCTTTGTGGTCGACTCGTCCGACGTGTATGCCACGGTCGAGGACACGCCGATAGGAGAAACGCAACACTGGCAGGTGTACCGCCCGAAAGAGCACCACCGGATCTGTTCGCGATATGGGCGGAAGATGTTCCCGATGTACGAATTTTATTTTAAAGAAGCTCGGCTCCGGTTACCGTTTTCCGCCTTCCATCTGGGGCTTTTTGACTGGCTGCGTCTTGCCCCGTCTCAGCTGCACCCAAACGCTTTGGCTTTCATCCGGGCTTTCGAGGTGGTGTGTTTCTACCTCTCGGTGGAGCCGACGGTGCCGTTATTTTTCCGCATCTTTCATTTGCAGCGGCAGACGGTGCGAGGTCGTCACGGATGGGTCTCTTTCAAACAATCGACCAAAATTTTCAAAGCGTATAGCCATTCTGTCAAAGACTTCAAAGGTCGGTTCTACCTCGTCAAACCGATCACGCAGCACGGCTCGGACACTCTCTTTGACGAGGGCGAGCGCACGGTAGATGGCCAGCGGTTCCGCGCGTGGCTTCCTAAGATACATCTACTGTGGACCTCGGAGCATTTCAGTCGAGGGACGGATAGGTATATCGTCCGGGCGGGGACCCTCGAGGAGAAGGACATGGCCGCTTATTTGAAAATAATTGCTTTTGTGCGGTCACTCCCCCCGTCGAAGCTGGTGACGCCCGACGGTCGGTACATCCTCGACGCCCAGGGGAACATACGCACCAAGAAGCGTTTGATAAATACCAAGACTTTGCTCGGCTGCGCGACCGGGGCGGCCGCTCTGGATTATCTAGGTAGGGATGTTCGTTTTCCCTCGTGGTCGGGGTTTCTGATCGTCACTAACCTATTTCTTTGTTTTTGCAGCGAACATGTCTACTGTCGACGAGCGGGTGAAGCAGTTGCGCGCTGCCAGGAATGCCGTGGCCCCGAGGACGAGGGTGAGTCAGCTGGTCGGTCAGGAGGTCGCGACGCACGGGGGGCAAACTTCGTCCTCGTCGCCTCAAGAGAGCCAATCCCCTGTGTCTCAAGGAGTGTCGAAGAGGCAAAGGTCCGAGGAGCCTCGGGTGGTGGATCTGACGGTCGGCGCCGTCGAGGAAGGTTATGTCGTCCCTCCCTGCCACCAGCACCCGGGATATTTTCATGGTGCCCGTTCCCCCACTGTTTCCGCCGGGGAGGTGAAGGCTGTTCGCCAGGCTGATCGGGAGACCCGTCGACGTGTCCTGGCTGAGGACTTGGCCGCGATGATGCGGACGTTTACGACGGCTCTCGTGCTGAACGAGGAGGGCTGCTCCGCTGCTGAGCTGTCCAAATTGCAAGAGGATCTCACTTTCACGCAGTCGCGGTTGGTCAAGCTCACTGAGGAGTTGGAGAAGAGCCAGAAGGATGCTGCCGAGCAGCGGAAACGGGCAGAGGGTGCTGAGGGGAAGGTGACTTCGCTGGAGGAGAAGCTGGGGACAGCGACGGCCGAGGTGCAGGCGCTGAAGGTTCGTACGGAGGTTTTGGACAGCGCTGTTCGTCCGGCCGAGGACGAGACTGATGGGGATCGGCGGCTAATCACCCGTGCTGACTTGATCGCCCGTATCCGGGTGTTGGAGAGCGATTGTCTGGAGGCCGTTGAGGTCGGGTTCAAGAATGCGGTCGAGCAGATTCAGGTCGCCAACCCTGGTGTCGAGCTGGTCGTGGACGGGATAGGGCCGTACCACGAGATTGTTGATGGGAGGGTGATCGATCCTTATCTTGTTATCCCCGAGGAGGAAACCGTGGCTGCTGACCGAGCGGACGAGGAAGCATAGGTTGCCGGGCCTGCGTGCTCGTGGTTTTTGTGGCCTGCGTGCCGGTGTTTATCTTTTGCTTTGGGCCTGCGTGCTCGTTCTTGTACTATTGACTACTGGGCTGGTGCCCGCTTTTGTTAAATATATTTATCATGGATTTTCTAAGTGTGCGCTCGTTATTTGCATGTTGTTTTATGCTCGTTTTTCGTATTTGTTCGAATGCCTTTGATGTGTATGACATTTCTTGTAGATTTTCTAAGTGTGCGCTCGGTGTGTTTAGCTCGACAATTTGTTACCGGTAGTGTAGGGAACTGGCCGGTTTGGCCGGGGATGTAGCCGGGCCGTTTCGGGGGTAGTTTTCCCTGGGGCGTGGGCGGCCCATCGCGAGCTGGGTGTCCTGCCTGTTTTGGTACGGCGGCGAGGAGCCTCGGTCGAGGTATTCCCTGCCGAGCAAGGCCTTCTGCCCGCGCACACGAGAGGCAGGGCTTGCTTTTCTTTGGTCGCTGGTGGACGCGGGGGTGTGCGGTGGTACCATGTCGCCCCCCCAGTGGTCGGGACGATGGGTCGTCGCGGGCAATGTGTTAACTGTAGTACCGCTTAAGCTTCGCGGCGTTCCATGGTCGAGCTAATTGTTCACCGTGCAGGTTTTCGAGGTAATAGGCCCCATGCTCCGTTTTGTCCCGGACTCGGTACGGGCCTTCCCAGTTCGCCGCCAGTTTGCCCTCGTGGGAGTCTTTCTGGTTTCTGCGTAGAACTAAGTCGCCAGTTTGAAAATCGCGTTTTATGACTTTGTTGTTATGGCGAAGTGTGACTCGTTGCTTCAGCCGGGCTTCCCGGAGAGCTGCTCCTGCGCGGATTTCTTCGACGAGGTCGAGCTCTTCTC